ATGAAGTGGGCAGAATGGAAGAGCCCCAGAGTCCTTCTGCTCTGAGAAGTCTATGATCTACTGTGTACGCATTACTCATTATTTCAAGAGCTGGTTGAAGCTGAAAACACCAGTTCTGGCTGCATCATACTATGATAAGTAAGGCAGTCAAGAATATATGATTAATGAATGAATGTCAGAAGAGCCGAATGAAATGGAAGTATTAGAACAAGGCACCATTTCTAAGTGCACAGACTTCTCAGAGATCCACAACGTCCTGGCACATTGGAGGGAGTAGATTGTAGTTTCAATCAGATTCTCAAAGAAAATTATGGCTTCCAAAGAGTTAAGAAGTAGTGTTTAGATAAAGAAATAAGTCATAGTTATTAGAGAAATTTGGGTAGTCAACTCTAGCCATCTGAGACTACCATCGTAAAAGTAACTGGGTTTTTTTCTTTAAGTTAATCTATGATACTTTTCTTCAAGACAGAAAGCTAGACTGAATGGGCACCAGTCTGACCCAGCAAAGTCTCTGCTACATTTCTTTGGCATGGAAGGGAGATAAATCCTCAAAGGCTTTTTTCCCTTTAAAATGAAAAATGAAAAATGAAAAATTTCAAGATACTGTCTTTCTAAATAAGAAACAGTACCTTCGTGTAGCATTTCCCATGTGTTCACATTTGATGGTGGGAAGTGAAACTATGTCAACATTTAACTCCCTAGAATAGGAATCACAACATTTCACATGCTGCTTCCTTCCCAGCTAAGTGGCACTATTCCCTTTGCCCTGTCCAGTGAAAGCAGCATACATGTGCATTATGCACCAAACTGTGTCCTCTTAAAATTCACATGTTAAAGTCCTAACACCCAGAACTTCAGAATGTGACCATATTTAAAGATAGGATCTTTAAAGACCTAATTAATTTAACATGTGGTCATTAGAGTGGGCCCTAATCCGATATGATCAGTGTCCTTATAGCAAGATGAGATAAACACACAGCACAGAAGAAAAGCCACGTGAAAACACAGGGAGAAGATGGCCATCCATTCATACAAGCCAAGGAGAGAGCCCTCAGGAAAAAAAATCAACCCTGCTGACACCTTGATCTCAGACTTCTAGCCTCTAGAACTGTGCAGGAAGTAAATTCCTGTTGTTTAAGCCACCCAGACTACCATACTTTGTCATGGCAGCCGCAGAAAACTAACACAGTGCGTCAGTGCCACAGACAATTCTAAGGGGGAGCAATTTAACCTCTTTTCCAGTCCTTCTTTAAAATGTGGTGCATGGTGTTCAAGCCCTCTACCATGCTCTATAGGGCTGAATGGAGTTCCTAAGTATTCTATGAATTTATTAATAGCAATTTTCCTGGGATGTAAAATTAAGGAATAGGTTTTGCAGTTAAAACACCTAATTGGCCAACTATTTTTGTGAACGTATTGTAGAAAATGTCTCTTTTGAGAATTTAAAAATATTGAAGA